CAGAAGTTGATTGCAGTACTTGCGCTCAAAGTAGCCTTTCTCTGCGCTGTGGCGCAATTAGGCCTCACGGCTTCTGTCCCTAAAAAGAGATGGGAAGAACCCAAACATTGGTTAAGGAGAAATAACAATCCAGTTTATCCGATATGGTGGTGGAAAAAGACACCTCCAACACTCCTGCCGACAACAAAGGCCACGCCAACGACAAAAAGACCAGGACCAGAGATGTGCCAAAGCATGACAATAGTTAGTCGAATACAGGACGGGAAAGGTCCTGTTGTCTGTGTGCGTAAGAATGTTACAGAGCTGCTGCAAGAATTGAGCGGGGTTGGTGGTTTTATAAAACGATACATGGGTGTAAGAGTTATCGATGCTTGCGGATTTGAAGATTTAGCTGCCATTGGGAACCCAATAGTAACACGGCCACCAACACGGAACTCTTCACTGCAATCTGACAGCAGAGAAACAGAATCCCAGCCTGAACAACTCCTTTCCAATTCTGAACTACAGCGTCTCAAGAGGACGCTCCCCACGTCTCAAGGCACAATTTATCGTGGGTGTCAGGGCCGAGGTACAATAATTGATGGCACAGATGAACACCGTCTTTGCACTGAATGCGCCGCCACAACTCATCTCGGAAATGACCGGTTTCCTACTTACATCAACGAAGTTGTTTGCCACGACAGTGACAAACAGTGTGCTGCTAAAATGGGAATGTGCTTACAGCGAAGCCTTAAGTTCCCGTTTTTGCGGGCAACCGGGAGGTTCAGGTTTGACGCCGTTCAGAGTGCGTTAAACGGAAAAACAATTTACAAGGAAGTCTGGGAACAGTACACGCAGGAAATTAGATCCTGTTGCGAATGTGGGATGTACTCAGCTATATATAACAAAATTGCTCCTGGTGATGACGATGATTGAGCAGTGTTTTATTCAAATTCAAAACAATATGTTAAATAATAACTTTTGAAATTCAAGATAAACGGAAAAAGTACTTCATGACATATGGTTATGTGATTGCCATTGATGAGGTCAAGAGAGCATTATTCTCTCTTGTGACGTAAAATAACCAAGACAAGACGTCTGTTTTGAGTATATTTGTATTTGTTTGTAATTAACAAACAGCATAACGTTGCCGTGACGTGGGGATACTCTTGAGGTGAAGAGCATACCCAGGGGTACTGAACAAAGTTTTATACAGGGAGGTTACCCCTTGTATGAATGGTGTCTTTGTAGAGACTCTGCTTCTGTCGAGTAAAGCGTTGCAGTTTGTCAATTGAAAAATGGTGCCCACGTTACATATACTCTACTTAAGAATTCTGCCCTTGGAACGAAGTTAATGAACGATATATATTACGGGAGAACATTGTACACTTAAAATCAGTTCGCGAGGGAAACAGTTAGTTTTGTTTTCCCGAGAGACGAAACATCAGGACTCAGGGAAAACAAAAAACTAACTGGTTTCCCGACGGACCTGACATTAATTGTTTTGTTATATTTCTAGACTTTCACTTCAACAGCAACAAATAAGAATAACCGGAGCGAACCAAAACAGTCGAATCGATACTTACTGTAACAAACAAATTTAATTCTTAAAACCACTGAATGAATGAGTTACAAAGTACTTTCCTCATATTATCTGCATCTTTTTCCTCCACTAGCTGCAGTTTCTCCACTGGGATGACTTTAACCCATTCGCTCCTGGAGATTTTGCCGAAAAACGCGTTTTGAAGCTAGTCGAGTGGTTTTCTGGTCACTGTTGTGCTATAAAGAGCTAAAACTTACCGCAAACAGGTTTACAGGTCGTACACTTCGCGGCCTTCTGATCCAGATGCGAAATATCAGCTTGCGAAGTTCGGGCATGCGCAGAAAGCAAAATTTCGAGATATAAAATTTTTTGGGGTTTAAAAGTGACACAGCAGTCTGGACTTTTAGTTTTCGCTTTCTCTCCTCCCCTCTTTTTTCGCTTTTCTTTTTTTTCTCTTGCTGGGAATTTTGTAAGCTTCGTTTTGGTGGGAAGAGTTTTTAGGAAAGCTTTTAGGATCTTAGGATTAGGTGAAAGGAAAGGTAGGTGAACAATGGAACAAGATTTTCATGGAGATTTTCAGGTCAATGTCACATGGTTTTTTGCTTCTTTCTCCGGTGTCCTTGACTGAATTGTGCTCATTCTGGTATGGTTTGAAAGACCTCTTCACTCTGCAAGAGTTAGCAGACAAAGTTGTCCTTGACCGTTAAAACTGATGACGTCACAAAGGGTAGAAAGGACGCGGATCCGCACGGGCGGTTACGGGCGGTTCAGGGGCGAAAGGGTTAAAAATCGTTGCTTTTTAGCTTGAGGCTTCGTGTTTGTGTTGCTGCGTTCATTCACGAAAAAGAAAACTGGCAGTGTTTTTGCCGCCGTCTGTTACACCACTTTCCACCATGCTTTGATCACGTGCTGTAATGTAGCCCGAGCGGGTACATTGCTTAATGTATCACGATCGGGATACATTTGAGTTTAGTCAAGGCCACGTGACCAAGCTAAAGAATCAACCAATGGCAGTGTTTAGTTGAGTGAAAGTCTAGGAATATAACAAAAACAGTTGCAGGAAGAGATGTTAACACACAAAACGTAGCACTTTACTTATTCACTTTACGATGTGGCAAACATAACTACCAAAATGAGAGATTTGCCTCCCCATTCTTCAACTTTTGAGATCCTTAGCCTTTTATCACTGTTTTATATACTTGAAACCTGAAAATGGTGTCCACTTCTGGGAGAGCTTTTCCTCATAGGCCCCTAGAGAGATAGCCTGCAAGAGCATCCGGTTTTTTCGGCTTTAGTTTAGAGAAGCGACGACCGGAAATACGTCTGCGGTTCGCAGGCTACTAAAAGAGAGTCCCCACCGCCGTGACTTCTGCCGTCAGAGTATTAGTACTTATAAATAATTTCTGTGACATTTAGTCTCTTTGTCCTTTTCTTAACTTCTCTTAATTGCAGATGTAAATTAATATTGACTACCTGATCGAGTGATGCACTTTTTTGGACAGCTGTGACGTAGGAAAATTTTATTTAGCACGAAAACTTACTGACAATGAGCTGCCCTTTATTGTCTCTATAAGGGACTAATAGTTTGTATGCGGAAGCACGGTCATGATCATGACGCCAATATTAAGGGACTTTTTTCTTAAACTTGCAAAGAAAGACATATTGGAAGGTTGCTACAAGTAAATGAACGAGGATTGCTAATAAACTGTTGAAACATTAGTTATAATTTAATTTCATTGAGCAGTTACTTAATAGAGGTAAAATGCGAATTATTTAGTATGTGAAATATATGAATAGATTTTAAAAAGATCAATGAGAACGTATGCATGGGGGATGGCAAAAGGCTGGCGGTACTCGAGGAAAAAAGTAATGATAGTTTTATTGAATTGAAAAACTATTATTACGTAGCTTTCTTTCGCCCTCAAAATTTTCATTTAATACACGCATCTTTCCTTTTCGAGGTATTTTTGAGACTAATCAATTTGTCTTTACATAGGTGATGCTTTGATTCACCCTCATGAATGAAAAATGCTTAGCTGACATGAAACATCAAAAAGCTGATTATCAAAAACGTTCCACTTCCTTTTTTGTAAGAATTCACGATTAATTCATTATTTTTAATGAACACATTTTTATTAAATATGTATGGTTTAACTTTAAGAATACTTTTAACTTTTAGATCCCAAAGAAGAAGCCTAGCAAAACAAACGGCTTTCGACTGTCAGCCGTATGACTTGTAAAAAATTATTCTTATAATGGCGAAGGATGGCGCTACAGTGCTGTCGTAGATTGACGACGGAAACCAGTGGCAGCGTCGCCAAATGTCGGCTTTTTTCAAAGGCTACGCTGTCGTCATCACAAGTTCTATCGATAGAGGAAGTTACGCATTGAATACAATCCAACGCCACGTACGCACATTTCTTTAGAATGTTGATTAAGGCTAAAATAAAGTCTAAGAGGCCGAATGACCAATCTACTTTTACAAGTTTTTAGCGTACTGTACTCTCTGAATATACAGTAACCTAAATACGAGTTTCGTAGATTTTGTTGACTAATAATTCTTATATGAATTTCCTGCAGGCAGGGCTGTGCTTGCTAGAGCGAAGAAAATTGAGGTTAACACCATATTACTGTATGCGGAAAATCAGCAGTAACAATTATCACGAGAAAACAAAAAGCATTTGTTTCAAACGCTTTCATCATCAAATGTTAGAGTTTTCCGCCTTGAGGGTTTAAATTGAAATTCCTTTGCTGAGAATATAACTTCATTTGGGCGGTGTGGCACAGGAGCCACAGACAAAAAAAAACAAAGAAAGGTAAGATAGCTTAGGACCTGGGACCGGCTAGCTTAAGCTGGCTTAAAATGTTCGCAGTTGTTAGTTTTCTCCTTCCTGCAGTTGTTTCCCTAGCTGTTATTTTCACTTAGAGGGCTTGAAAACTCGCAGTACCCCGAAATTCTCGAACATCAGTTCGATTGAATATGACATAGCCGACTCCAACCCGTACATCCAGTGTCAATATACCGTGTCTTTTCCTTAGAAAATCTTCTCCATCAACTTACTTTATCCTTGTATCACGAGCAAAACATATCAGGGGCACCCAACGAGAATATAGTTCAAAACCACTTAACTGATAGCATTGTTAAACGTATTTTAAACGGTTAGATATAGGCATATATTTATCCCCCCAAAATTTTTCATCTGTTCGGATTTCCTAGCAGAAAGTCTTCACTAGTGATCCGAAAATTGTAGGGATCAAAACTTACCTTTTCGAAAATTTCAGCCAGAAAAAAAGCTCCCGAAAATTTTAGGTGACCTTTTTAGGGTAAAAATCCGTTAAAAATGGGAAATAATACCATTTTTGAGAGGTTCGAAAATCCTGGGAGAGGTAGGCAAGAAAGAAATTTTACAACAAATGTTCCGAAAATTCTAGAGGTTAAATCGTCTTCCGAACACAGATATTTTCCGAAAATTGGCGTTGACATATCTCTGAAAACTCCTCCTGAAAACAAGATGGTCTGTCACTATAATATTGAGTAAGTGTGTGTGAGAAAAGATATTGTAGTCAAGAAACAGACATAAGTGTTCAAAAAGCTTCACATTATAAATCACCGTATTACAAGCGTGAAATACAGTAGTAAGGAAAAGTATTACGTTTCAATTACCTTTATTACCTTTAAAATCTGCATAGTAGTGAACTTTGCGGTTGTAGTTGTGGAAGTTAGACAGTTACATAGCACATGATTAATATAGAACTACTGGCCACGCTAACAACGTCTTTCTTAAAACGAGGTTCAGTACGAATATTAAGTCTTTGGCCATGGCATGAAAGACAGTTTTCATTTTCACATGAAAAGTCCTACACTCAGCCTCGACCGCATAAAATGAGGGAAGTGGATCGGAAATGGCCTAATATAAAACGATAAATATTAAGACTCACTGTTTCAGGGGGAAAAAATTCAATTTCATTGATGTTTCTGCTTAATTTATATTCAACGCCAGTATTCCATATTTTGTGGTTGCGCCGCATGCCTCGTTAATTTTTTGGCTGTACAATTCTCTACGGTTATTGACGAAATCGTACTAAAATCGAAAGTGACTAAATAGTGAGAGCTTTTACCTTATTTGCCAGAGACTGGGAAAAACATTCATAAATTTCATAGTTTAAGACGTTACCAAACTTTTCATTTTCATTTCTAGCTATAGGAACGTGACTTTGTCCACGACCACATTCGTTCAAGAGCACTTGAAGGCCATATTGAATTTTAGTGAAACAAAGAGAACTCAATTTTATTCTAAGCTTTTTTAAAAACTTCCGAAGCCATTTCCGGCTAAGAAGCCTCTATTTTTTGCCAGTTCTTCTATTGAAATCGACTTCTTACTTCTGTTGTAAGTATATATTATATATTTCGTGTACAGAATTATTTAGCCCTAGAAGGTTGAGGAATTATAAGCACAGTTTTGTGCAGAACCTAACAGTTTTGGAGAAAAATGGAGGTTGTGTTAACGAAAATATATCGGGCTCAGATATAAATGTGTTGAATGTTTCAAACTGATTGAGCACTACAGACATCTTAATTTTGGACAAGAAATCAGAAAGCATGTACAATAATATATCTCAATCGATAATCAAAAAAGTGTCTAAGGCCAATTCAGTAGAATCAGAAAAATACCCAGAGTTAAAAGGAGAAGCCTGAAGCGTCTGTGGAACTGAAGTGTTAATTTTGTCAATTTGTCATATTCGTTGAAATGAGAGTTTGTCGACTTAAAGGGGGCCATTTCATTTACAGTCTCCAGGTTGTTTCATTGGAACGGCAAAATTTATTATGCGAGGGGACATAGATGCTAGAAAATTTGATATGAAAAAGCCTAGAATCAGAAGGCAGTGAAGAATCAGGCTAAAAGACTCATATAATCACTTCTCAGTAAAAACTGAGTTGAATTTACAATGATCTTAATGAGTAAATGAATACCTCTATTTAAGTGTCAAACTAAAATAGCTGCAGTGGAAGAACGGTGTGATTAGGGCACTTTATGATCTAAACTTAATTAAATAATCAACAAATATGATAGTTATTTTTGGTTTTGTTTTGTTCTCTTTCGTTGTATTTTTTTCACAAAAATAGCGCATCCTAAAGTGCTTGAGGACAGACGTCAGAATTATGTGAATTATTCGAAAGAAAAGTGTTTTTACCCCTTTGTTCTCGAAATATACGTTCCGCGGTTTACATAACACTATTTTGTAACTTAAAAGTGTCATCCATATTTCAAATGTACTGTGGTTTGGAGGTCAAAAGATCAAGTGTGTACATGGTAACAAGCAATTTATGAACTATTCCTCTTCTTTAACTCTTGCGAAGTTGGAAAAATTTTACCTGTCTTACAAATTGTTTTCAGTCACGTGATTGCCTTTTAATTTGGCGCCATATTGGTGCACATGACATGTAAACATATAACACGAAGCTAGTTCAGTAGCAACAAAATAAGGGTTTTATACGCGGTTTTTGTCTTTTGGACAAGAAGTTTCCGTGATAAGGGAATTCATATGGCAAGATTACTTTCATGACGGACAGCAATGAATTTGTGTCAAAAACAATTCTATAAACTGAACATTTTTATCCTTGTTTGGCAGTGGCAGTAGCGACTTCGCAATCATTACCAGCTACAGTCTTGGGAAAGAAAGGCTACAGAAGACATCATGGAGCTCACAATAAAAGTAAGCTGTTTTAACTTTTAGCTACATGTACTGGTCTGCCAAAGAAAAGATCCCACAAAACGGCTTATGGAAAGGTCCGAGTATTCGGCTTCCACAAGTTCCAAAATTAGCCTGAGGAAACAGCCGACATTTAGAAAGCCACCGTGACGTCTGATGAACGAGTGAAGGAATTTCATACTGATGACGTGACGCTATCCAGATCTAGGTAGTCCTCCTGACTGGCTGAAAATTTGCTTCATACCATGAGAAGCACCAACCAGATCTGGGTAGTGTGACGTGCCGCGCCATCAGTACTTCAGACGTCATTTTGAGGGAAAACGAGGGGTGGAGACGTGATATGTCGGCTGTTTTCTCAGGCTAATTCCAAAATCTGTGTATCTGGAACACAATGAGCGTGTGATAAAATTTCTGTAAAAGTATAACGTTTAAAGTCGACTGTTTGTTATGTACAGCGTTCAATAGACCCACTCTGAAACTGAAAAATGGACAGTTATAATGCAAAAGTGCAGTGTCATAAAAAAGTTCCCCCTCCTGATAAGAGTTTTAAGATACATCCTATGCAAGTTCTAGATTCTATGCAAAGTTACTTACGTGATGCAAGTAAGTCAGTGTGTTGCATTGCTTTAGTCCAGCGTACTCGCGAGATGTGAACTCCTTTGGCTACCCCAATTCAGAACCTGCGACCTGCGCAGCTCGCCCTGTGAGTTGTCCATATCTCTGTGGTCAGAGCGACTTCTACCGCATCCGGAAGGTCGTGGGTTCTTTTCAAGCTGAAGGCTCGGATTTTTTCCGAGCATTTGTTGGCTGTACTTACTTTCTAAAGTTACAAAAACTACTTAAATATTTTTCTGATGCATAGCCAAAACCATCACGCCACTGTCCTTGCATGACATCAAACGTCGAATCAGTAAAAAACGAAAACTCCAGATTTGGTCTGCAGAGCTTGTCTTTTGGTTAAAGCGCTGCAGCGGCATTGCAGAGGTCAGGTTTCGAATCCCGGAAAGCCTAAATTTTTTTGACAGGGTTTCTTCTTGCAACTGCATAAGTTGGATCTTCTTTGCATTGAATAATAATAATAATAATAATAATAATAATAATAATAATAATAATATATATAATATATATAATATATATATATATATTTTTATAATAATAATAATACTTTATTAAACTCTTCTCAAATTGAAAATTAAGTACAAATTTAGTATAACTATAGTTAAAAAAAGACTTCTTGGTGGTCTGGTGGTTTTCAACAGAGCAAATGTAAACAACTGTCTATAAACTAAAAAAAAAGAAAATTTCTATGTTCATTGCAATGATAAATATTATAATTATTAAATTTTACCATTTACAGATTCAAGAATATGAAATATTAAAATATATACCCTATGTATATTCTTCTTGTGTACGAAAGAGAATTATCGTAAAATGACTATCTAAAGACTACTAATAAAACAATTATAAAAAGCATCAAAAAGTTAATAAAAAAAAACTATTTAAAAATAATAATTCAAACTGATAAAAAGTTACTACTTAAATTCTGGCTTGCGCACTTTCCGATGTAATGTTATTAATAATAATAATAATAGAGTGGAACCCCATTAATACGGTCACAAATGGGTAAAAAAAAATTGACCGTATTAACTGGGTGGCCGTATTTCATGACTTGAGGGCCTTAATGACAAATAAACCGTGCATCGCATTCGCATGAGGGAACAACTCAGTTGTCATTAACAAACAACCGAAGTGCATGTAGATATCTGGTACAGTAATTGAAAAAACTACTTATGTCCTTCAGCACATAAAACACTTTTAAAATTCGGCCATAAAATCTCAGAAAGTGCACTTTATGTGTACTGTAGTCTAAAAACAGTACAAGAACAGGCTCAGAGTACTAGGTCAATAAAATTGACAAGTCACAGGTATTTTAATTTTCTAAATTTCAAACAAGTGGCCACATTAACAGATTTTAAATGTGGCCGTTGGCCGTATTAACGGGTGACCGCATTAATGGAGGTTTTCAATAAGGAAATGTATGACCGTTTTGCCAGGCCGAAAAAAAGTGGCCGTAATAAGTCTAATGACGAGGTGACCGTATTACTGAAGTGGCAGTAAGACGGGGTTCCACTGTAATAATAATGATAATAAGACCGAGCTAGGTAACGATAACTATAGCAATATTTTGTTCCACTGCATTTTTCTCAGGTGCTCTGCTTTGGACTCTTTCCCTTCCTTGTGTCTGGACTCGTCCGCCCATCTTCAGGAGATCCTTTCGGCTGGCACCGCGTTCGCCGGCCTTTCACTCCTAAACCAATTACACGCCAAGTCGTGGTTCCCACTACTCGCCGTCCAGCGACCCAAATTCCGAAGGAAAACTGCTCTCTTATCGTGGACAAGGTACCCAAGTTAAGTCGCTATTATCACAGTTTCAGGAAGTTTAGACGTCCACTTTGCGTACGTCTTAATGAATCCCAGTTGTTACAGATGCTCAAAGACGTTGGAGGGTATAACCCAAGGTATGTGGGCATTAACAGAGAGGCTGTATGCAGTTTTACCGACCTTTCACAAAACGCCAAGCTCTTACCAAGGAATTCATCACGGCCTGTACGACCAAAACGACAAAAACGCATGGTTTCTTTACCTGGTACAACCCTTAAACGAGGCTGCTGGGGGCGTGGCTCTTTCTTGGATGGAACTCCCCTCCTGCGCATGTGCACGGAATGCGCTGCAACAACTCATCTTCCCGCCAATATTTTCCCGCCTTTCATCAACGAGGTACTTTGTGGCGATACAGATGGCTACTGCCACCTTCGTCGGGGGCGTTGCATCCAAAAGTTTCTCGTGTTTACCTTTCTTAAAAATACCGAAGAGTTTGAGCGAGATGACGACCTGAGCGAAGATCTTGGAATGGATGTCTATAAGGCAAAATACGATACGATTAATTACCAGATTAGGTCGTGCTGCGATTGTGGCAACTTTGCCTTTCCAGTTGGCTAAGCGGACAATGTAGGATACAAAACTTCAGACACTGCATGCCATAAGTTAGTTAATATTAAGAGAATCAGTTTAGTCAATAGCGAAATGAGGGCCGCGGCAGGCTTCAGTCTTTGAGCCGACGAAGGCAAGAAAAAAAAGTTGCAGTTGCAGTGGTTGGTGGAGATTGCTTCTTGTATGTTGTGTCACTACCTATAACATTCGAAAGATTATAATTTTGATAAGAAGATCATGCATAAGTAAATGCAAATATAGGGCCGATCTTTTTAAAGTCACTGAGTAGCCTGTAAGATAATGATAAAGTGTAAACCAGCTGGCCAGCAAATAAAACATCTTCACGCACATGAATCAGTAAATCCATTCACTTTTGTTGTAAAAAAGACCCCACCGCCCCTTTCAACGACGTACCAAACACAGAGGAAATTCTTTAACTTTTTCCAGTTGTAAAAAACAGTAACTTTTTCAGTCATGCGCATCCGTACTAACGAAAAAGCATTTGTGTCCCATGGAGATCAGTGGATTACACTGTAGACAGAGTAAGACTCACCTATAAAAGGAGACTTAACGAATTTGTGTTCGCGGTTGGAAATTTGTCAGTGAAAGGAAAATATCTAAAGAAGTCTTGATAATAACCAATTTTATTCCGGTATTTCCTCTCTTTTCTTCGGTAAATGTGTGATTTGAAGCAAATGGAAAGAAAAATAGAAAACCATAAATTGAAATTGTTCCTTGCAATTGAAAATAAGAATGTTCACAGAAATGAGTCGTCAAATGCCATCGTAATTTTCACGATCTCTTCTTCATCTATATCTGTCTCTCCTCCCCGGATGAGAGCCCGTTACCTTTAATCAGTTTTCACCATTTCCTTTGGAAGAACCGGTTAGAGTCGAACTTGTTTACTAACTGTTTGCCAACTTGGACCATTGGATTTTACTGACATTCAGAAAAACCAATCAAATTCTTGTAGTTGTATTCTAATGTCATAATCATAAAAAGGTCAATATTTCAGTTAAAAATTATAATTCTATTTCTGATTCGAAAAAAAAAAATCTATCGCTCTATCTTGCTTTATGCTGGGTGCAGAAATGATTGAAAGCTAAGACCAAGGGCTCAAACTTGTACTTTTTTCCACTTGGGGTAATACTGTAATGCAAATGAAATAACAACAAAAGATGTTACCAATCAAATTAGAAACGGCAAGCACAAGAAAATCCATCAACTTTGTTGTTTAGTTCCAACAGTTCAGGCTTCAGAGGCCTGCACTCAGTCAGTCCACCATTTGTCGAAAGCTCGTCGGAGACTGGCCAATATAATACTCTGGGCAAAGTTGCATTAGAGGTTAATTATCTCTTTTAACTTTTCCCGAAACTACGGAATTTTTGTGCGAAATGGCTTAAAGGTAGTGAAGCTTCGACAAAAGGGCTATTCTGGATAAGTATGTGTAATCAAATGGTGACGAGTGAAATTAGGGAATAATTTCACTTGCGTTTTACCCAAATCCTAATAATTTCCCGAGCCTTCAGGCGAGGGAAATTATTAGGATTTGGACAAAACGCAAGTGAAATTATTCCCTAATTTCACTTGTATACCATTTGATTACCTATTAATATCATGGGTGACAAATTACGTTAGCAATCTTGGATTTTTGACATGTTCATCCTGGATCGTATCGATCGAGAACTCCACTCTCTCAAATGTTTAGACCTTAAATTTTCAGACTTTTTCGGCAAAATACCTGTTAGAATCCTTCTCGATGTTCTCTTGTGTGTTCAGGTTTTCTAAAGCGTCTTTTTGTGCCCTGACATCTTCATTCACGGCATTTCAAAACTTCGTCGCCATCTTGACACTGAGACTTACCGAAGGGTTGCCATGGCAATTTTGTAATTTCACATGTGAAATTACAAATTAGTATAGGTAATAGCATGATTTGTAGTGATATTTGGCATAAGTACCACGAGTGATATTTCGAAATTGTTATACGTAATTTCACGAGCCGTTAGGCGAGTGAAATTTGAGACAATTTTGAAATATCACGAGTGGTATTTATGCCAAATATCACGTAGAAATCATGCTATTATTTGTTTACACTACTACCCACAAAAGGTTTGTAATTTTCACATGTAGGTATTTCAAATTAAGCTGAAATACCACTGCTCTAAGCCAATCAAATTGCTGAAATTTCTCATGTAGTAGTATAAACGCTGAAATTTCGCGCCAAAATTAAGGAGTAATTCGTCACCTATGATATTAGAGTAGTAACTTTTTTTCGTGATTTCTTGGAAACACTGACCACGTGCTCAAGGAAATTAAGGCATGGGTGTTTTTTCAATTTCCCTCAAAAAGTTGAGGGGTGGTCTATATTTTGAGGATTACGGCCTATAGCGACAAAACTTGAGTAAAAGAATATGTAAATTAGGTCACGTGAGTTTTAACGGTCATTTTGCGCGAAAAAAGACTTAAATTAGAAATGGCACTATTTTACAAAAGCAGCCAGTCAAATAAAGTGGAACCAAACATGTCCCTGGATGAACGACTAGACATCTGTGTCCGAGCTTTGTTGAATAATTATTAAAAGTGTAAATATACGAAAATTTCTACTAGTACCCTGTCCCCTTTTCAACGAATTTCGAATTTCGTTCCTGCCTAAAAGATTAAGACCCGGACACAGAAATGATGTAACCACTTAAGTCTCACAACTATGACGATAACTGCAACTTCCAGGAAGTAATTAAAAGTGGTGCCATATTGCCAAATAGATTTTTGAGCTAAAAATAGCCTTAATAGGTCACGTGACTATTAGTGACTCCAATCATCATTCCAAATTGTTAAACTTATACCCAGGAAGTCTGTCGTTAAGTTTTTTTGTGCTATATTGAAAGCTTGAATTTAGACCACCACCTCCCCCCAACCTGTTTTTGAGGAATTGGTTTGTTGCTGACATATGACTTGCTGACATTTTATATAAATAAGAGACCCATGCCTTGAGTGGCGAAAAGCTAGATATAATAAGAACAATTTCCATGTCTAAGTATTACATTGCGCAGTAATTGAAAATGAATAACTTCCGTTAACGAGACTTTCGTAGCCAAGAATCTAAAGAGTAGCTGTCCTTGAGACATAAAAATGGAACATAGTAATGCATCCCCTTTAAAGCTAAGTACAAAAACTGAATTCAAAAATGATTGAATCTTTGCTTAATCTCTGTGAACTATAATTTAGCTGTTCATATCCGATGAAGATCGCCCAGGTATAATTCTATTAGAATTATTAGAAGATTAACTAGAAAAAAGAATTCATGCACCGCCTGGTCCGGGCGAGTGTGACACTTCGATTGTCACTTGCTAAAACCTGTTCACGACTTGAAACGGAGAAAATTTAATTGATGGCATTGCGAAGGATAGGACTAAAGGCCAGTTGAATTTAAGAAGATGACGACTGAAATAGCCAGTAAAATGTCCGACTACTTAAATCTGATAACTATACTTGCTAAAAACATAATTTTTTTTTTTTTTTGGGGAGGGGGGGTCACCTATTTGAAAATGTATTCAAGAGAGTATATCTGTGGCAGACTTAACGATAGACTGCGAGCAGTCATCTCGCGCGCCACGTGCCTCTCCCGTCTCGCGCCATCAGTCACGCGCGTGGCCATTTGTCTGTCTCGCGTTTTGCTCGACGGACTACAGAAAAAAGAGAGACTGCTCGTAGTCTAACTTAACGAGAGTTACTTTGCTTGTTTTACGATGAAATTTCCTTGGGCTGAAATTAGACTTCCAAAACACGACTTCAAACCTAAAAACCGCGTGCTTTGAGACTTTTTGCCATGCATGAAAATATTTATCACTTCCTACCTATACAAGATAGTACCTTAGATATCTTTTATTGCAATATTGAGTCAGTAAGTGTATGGGAAAAATATTTTTTAGTCACGAAACAGACAGCGTTCGAAAGGCTTTGCAAAAAATAAACATATTACAAGAGTGAATAGTAAGGGTCAGTATGAAGACTTTGACATGAGAAATATTTTTCATTTTCCTGCAAATAAAACTCATTTTCACATGAAAGGTCTTGTATTTAGCCTAGTCGTTACATTAAAGAGAGAGTTTTTGGAACTCGGAAATAGCCCATGATCATAAAACGATAAAATAAATATTAAAGAACAGCAATTTTAAGAACATATTTTTTTGAATATATTTGTTCTTTATGTGTTTTGTTTCTTCGCATATTCAATTGCTATTCCTTATTTTGTAGCTATGCTGCTTGCGGCGTTGGTTTGGTTCAACTTGGACGAAAGGATATCTCAGTAGGAGAAATCGTACTATGATCGAACTTCACTAAATAGTGACTGCTTTTACCTAATTTGTCAGAGAGAAAGGGGTAAAATAGCAGCAACAACTACAGCAACTTAATCCAATTGTTCAATAAAATATTTTCATAGTTCAATATGTTTGCCAAACTTTTCAGTTTCATTTCTTGCTAGAAACGTGACTTTGTCCACGAGCACATCAGTTGAAGAGCACTTGAAGTTCCTAGGACACAGCTTAGAGCACTTCATATTTTGCTACAAAGAGGAGTTCATTAAATGTTTTTTCAAAACCAAAGAGCTTCTATTTCTTGCCAGTTCTTCACGTTGAATCGACTTCTTTCCTCGGCTGACGTAAGTATTTCCTGAACAGAATAACTTTAATAGTTTTAGAAGCGGACTGAAAAACTGTGCACAGCTGCATACACAGCCTAATAGTTTATTGACTGGATAGATCATCCATCTGGGAATAAATTGAAGAGAATAACGTGAGAACGTGTTAACGAAAAACTACGCGGCTCAAATGTAGATGTTTTGAATGTCCCTATATGAAGAAAAGCACTAAAATTGAGCGCATAAGAGATCAAACATCGAAATTGTAGACAAGAAATGAAAAAGCTGTACAATCGTCGCGTCTTCATTCGACAATAAAGGTACTCATGATCACTGCTAAATAACAAGAAGAAAACTGAGGAATGCCTGGACATGAAAAGACAAGCATGAAACGTCTGTGAACTGAGAATTGTTAATTGTACCGATCACCATTGACGCTTTAGGAAGCTTTAAGAACAGCAGTCAGCAGGTGACTTTTATAAAAAGAGAGCCATATACAAAAAGCTTGCCTGCTGGAAACGAAATTGCAAAAATTATCTCAATGCAGGAGGTCATAGAAAGCTAATGGGGCGTGAAGTCACCTAATATCAGACAAAGATGAATCAGGTTATAAAGACCGTGAAAACTGTGTTAAATTTACAATGATAATGATAATCCAAGGTGCTATATAATAAAAAAAATATTTAATAAAATGATTAAGAGATAGCAAGAAACTCTTAAATACAACTGATACATACAGTCGAACCTCCAAGTGCGACCACTTCTCTAAAACACTAAACTTTTTCCAGTCAAAGCGCTATAGCCTTAGAGCTCGAACCTCTCGTAAACGACCACCTCCTGTATTAGTAAGCGACCGTGACCGCTTTTATGGGATGACGGTTTTATAATTTTTAGTCTATTGTTTTTGATTTGTTGTAAGCGACCACTTGATGTATGATCTGATCTCTATATTCACTGTATGTACTATCATACACTATGATCAGTGTGTATACTGATCACAATATACGAAAAACGTTTTAGTAACAAGAGTACGCATATCGTAACTTAGAAAATTTGCATGCAGTTAATTATCTTCCGTAAAGTAGATGAGTCCACGGACCTCAGCTTCTAGGAAGAGAACCTCTGTGGATCGATTTTCGTAAGCAGCCACCTCCCATAAACGACCTACGGCTAAGTGTTCGCTGTTTGGACGGTCGATTACGAAAGGTTGACTGTCTCATAAACGGAAGTACATTTTTCACTCTCGCGTGATTTATATTTTTACCAAGATAGCGCACTTTTAGAGCTTGAGGAATGAGAAGAAAGCATCTGAATCATTCGAAAGAAAAGTGTTTTTGCCTCTATTTTATTGAAGATAAGCTGGTTCAGCGATTTGCATAACATTTGTAACTGAGCTGCATCATCCATATTTAAAATATACAGTCAACTCTTGCCTCGCGTACAGTTCGCTATAACAGACACCCCGCTAATACTGACTGTAAGTATATTGACCGTGGGCTTCTGTCTTCATTCATTTTTTACAGCTTTATTTATACAGAATTTTCGGCGCTTAGAATCTCAGCCTCGGATTTGAATAAAAATGCTCTAGTCTAGGTCACGAATTTATCATTCTATACCCCTTATATTGTAATTAGTGTATTTTAGTTAGTAGTATACACGACTGCACAAGCTTTTTGGCTTCAACTCATATAGTTTCAAAATAAAGGTTTTATGTTGTGTTATTCAACGATTGTTGGAAAAGGTCTACAGCAAGAGTCACCTGGCTCGAGTCCTGGCTCGTGTCTTCCATGCAGTCGGTGTACCGCCTAACATGTAGTCGCAAACGATGAAGTAGTTTAACGGACGACTGCGCTTGCGTTTTGTCCAAATCGCAATAATTTCCCTCGCCTGAAATAGCCTGAAACTGAAATAGCCGTCCAATTCATCCTACTTAATGTAACGAAGATGGAGAGGCGGGACTGGCGGCAATTAAATTCGATGGTTAAGAGAGGAGGCTGGAAAGTTGATATATAATATCAGAAACAATCCTATTAATGAACATTTGTTCTTTTTTTGGCAGTGATAGAAGCGTCATTACCAGCTACAGTCTTGGAAACGAAAGACTGCGGAAGTTTTCATGGAGTTTACATTAAAAGTAAGAGATCATGACAGCTACATTGTACTGGTTAGCCAGAAACAAGTTTCTATACTGAAAACTACTTGTATACATGTATATGTGTATGGCGGAAAGGTCTGGGTACTCATCGTCATGTTCCAAAAACTGTGCAGCGTTCGATAGACTCACTCTAATAATAATAATAATAATAATAATAATAATAATAATAATAATGGAAACTTTATTTGTGTTTTTGAATGTACAATTGTAAATCTCGCTACGTATAGGCAATTTACAAATGCTGCTTGAGATTGGATTATTATAAAGAAAAAAAAACAAACAAAAACAAAAACAAAACAAAACAAAAGCCAAAAAAAAAAAAAAAAGAAAAAGAAAGAAATCACAATTGCATTAAGTCTGGGCCATCCCAGTTTCTATTTCTACAACAAAAGATGTAATATGTTGCTCTAATGGTTATATTTATCATTTTCTTGATTATATAAGGTTGCTGCTTTTTGTTAATGTCAATGTCATTCATCAT